GGGGGGCATTTGAGAATGCCTTTTACATTAAGAGGATTAGAGGGGTCATGACATGTCAAAAATTGCCACCTATAACCATTGTATGGTCACACAACATGAATGTGCTTTTCTCGTGCATTATTGCTCAAAAGTACTATAAACAAAACTATGAAAAAATCATTTCTTTTTATTTATTTGAAAATCTATGATGACTATTTCAGTCACTAGGTCATGCTATATAAAAAAGTAAAACAATTGACATGCTTGCTCATACTCTCTTTAAATTTTGGTAGTTGACTTGGTTTTTCCCTTCTCCAACTACCAGTGAAACAATAAATACCTCAATTGCAGTAACTGGTCAATAATAAGATCTCTATAGCCCTTGATAAGCTTATTAACTATTAATATTATAAAAAAATCCTCACCATTTCTAATCAGCTTCACTGCCTTTTCCCTGATCTCTTCCACGGTCATTTCTTTTACTTTTCCAACCAGTTTCTTCTTGTAGGTTAAGTCATAAAGGAGTTTGCTTGCATCGATAGATTGCTCAGATACAGACTTGCAACAGTTGCTATGACAACCCTCGGGGTTGAACACATCACACAATCCAACAAGGTATTTGATTGCACCAGCTGTGACCATTTCTGCTTGACACGATGAATTCTGAAAGCTGATGATGTGGAGAACCGCGGCAGCTTGCTCATGAGCAAGGAATCTCCAATGTGCATCTTCTGCAATGCCTGTAAAGACAAAATTAAATGTAAACATGATCACGTAAATATGTAAAATTTAACATGTAATCACAGGATGCTTATTACATATGTATAAGGCTCTGTAGTTGCTACGCATGCTTTCTCAAATTAATAGTCTGCAACACTTATAACAGTTGGAAGCCAGAGATATATCTAGGGGTGGGATGTCCTAAGTCTCCTTACCCCTGAAATGTAAAAAGTCCTTAAGGCAGGGCTCGACTTTCGGGAAAAAACTTGGGCCAGCTGGCCCCAAGTTTACAAATTTAGTCCCCAGCAAAAGTATCTCAGTGAAAAGCGTGAAAAGACTAGTTAGTCCCCAGTAAAAAAAAAATTTGATCTCTTTGGCGATCCCAGTGATCGTAATGTCGAGCTCTGATAGGGGATCAAATTGTTTGTCATCCACACTCTTATCAAAACAATGAAAACAACCAAATCTACCCTATCACCATCTCTTTACCAAGTGAGAAAGGGTTTCTCATCACTCTAGGGATGCAATTAGACTGCTGGTAGTCGATTGTTCTCTTGAAATGAGGCAGGGATTATAAGGGAACATTTCAGTAGCAGGGATTGGGAGGAGACATGTGTCCGCCTACAGCAGCAATCTGCAATCTGTGTTGTTTTAGTGGATGTTCATCTGTACAATAAATGCATTTAAATGCCATTTAAAAGTCTGAGTTAATCGGCCAAAGAGTGAAGTGGCCAGTGGTAGATTGTTAGGCATAGTCCTCAATAAAACATTGATGACATGGGGTTTGAGAAGTATTGACCAGGAAGATTCTCAGGCCATGCTGACCCTTAAAACTTTTGAACTGTAACCTGTTTCTCTTTTCTTTCCACTACCCCATCAATGTTGCAGGTGACTGTTCCATTGCATGGGAGGCTTAAAACATGTTTACATGTAGCTTCTACAGTTGTGCAGCCATAGGGGTATTATATGATCTAGAACCTGGCTGCCAAGTGTGGAAGCTCCTGTATGTTCCAGGCACCTAGCCCCAAATTAAAGAGATAAACTTGTTAGAATTTGACATGTATGAGATCAAGAGTCACTTTGGGCTTTTTTCGACGCACTCCTTTGATTTCATATACATGTGCTAACATATCAAAAACAGAACAATTCAAAATCAGTATCACTGTCTGCACCTGCATCATCTGATACTAGCTCAGGGTCACACAGTCTCAGTAAGGGGGGAATTCCCCCTTGTCCAACTATCTTGGCCTTGACTTTTCCATTGCCATGAGCAAGTATTCTGAGAACTGCAGCACAATATGCACCAAGGCTCCAATCAATGGTCTTTACATCACACAAACCTACAGGGAAAGATTTTTAATAACAAGGTGAAACTAGTTTGCAAGAAGTTATTTTCTGGAACCCTCTCTGGTTTCCATAGCAATAATAAGCAAGAAGGAATAGGTCAATAGGTCAAATAATAGAATCAATGCCCCTAACCCCAAGGCAATATAAAACGCAGATGGGGTAATATTCAGGCTACCCGGAGGGCAGACTTTCACCGCGATTAGCCTGGTCTGCAGTCTGAATTTTACCCTCAGTCTGCAATTTACCCCCGGTCTGCAGTCTGCGTTTTACACTGACAGGGTTCTAAAGGTTCATGATCTATTTTCAGAACGCTCATGTCTTCGGAGTACTCCCCGATCAGTAATGTCCTAAGGGCAAACTCTGACAACACTTCTTGTATATAAAAAAATTCCTTTGATCAGCCATAGTCAGCACGTGTTCATTAATTGCAGTGTTAAGGGATCAATAGAAGTATAAACACAAACACTCCATATTTTACTATAGCTGACATAGCTGGTATATAAATCAAAACAGTCCAAAATTCGGCAAACAACAAACTTTATATCTTGTCCCTCACCAATAATTAGCTGTATGGATCCTTCGTCCACAAATTCTTGCTTCTTTTCCGGACGTTTCAGCGATTCATCAATGATCGCTTTCAATGCCTCTATTGTGTCACGAACATTTCGCTTCGAAGGAGGCATGGTACTAAACCTCAACTGAAGCTCCTGTGCCAATAAAAACAGCTGACAGACAAAGAGAGCCAAAACAAGGCAAATTCATGAAATTATACGTTTAAAAACAATATTATATTAACACGTTACATGTTCTCCACTGTAGATCTGCGAGTTTGGACTTTCGCGCGAAACCTCGTGCGAGCAGTATCCCAGAGTTCCTAGCAAGCTCCGCTTCCATCTTTCCTTCTTTCTCTCGCTCGTCACAGAAGGTGTAGTGTTCTCAAACAGAGCTAAGGCCTTGCATCCGCGTCAATCGTTTCATCAAGGCAACCTGCATCAATATTTCTTGGCGAAATAGAAACAAAGTAAGCTAAAGAACAAAATGGCATCAACCTCTGAGCTTGCTTGCGTGTACAGCGCCCTTATTCTCCACGACGATGGTGTGCCCATAACGGTGAGTGACAAAAATCAAAATGGCGGAATACGTTATGAAAAAGTAAAAAAAATTAGTATTTCTGTGTGGCTATGATGAAATACACCTCTGACATATGATCATAAAAGGTGATTCCACTTTTAAACTTCTGAGCCGCTAGAATATTTAAGATAACGAGGTAACGAGCAGTATTACATTGATAAAATTGTTACGAATCCACACGTGTCGTGCTAGGCTTGTGAGTTCTTAAATCACTCAAGCTTCAGAAATGGAGTTAACATACTGGATTCCACAAAATCCTACAAAGTGACAGAATTGGTTACGTTTTGTAGATCGGAGAAAAGTCAGGGATCTAACTTTCATGTCAATTAAAAGCACGAGGCTTGGAACAAGTTGGGGATTTTAAGTTAGGGTTGCTTCCTGTTGCAGGTTTCAATGATAATTGTTGCTCATACTTAAGAAATAGGAAATATAAACGGTGTTTCTATCAAGTTGTAGAAGAAATCTTCTAGTGTTCTATCACGAATGCTGTTCTCTGATTGGCTACGCTACCCACTATCTATTCTGTGATAGATAGTGAGTAGTGTAGTAGTGTGCCCTTGTTAACAAAATGATGGCACTTCTTGGCATTTTCAAACTGTCTTTGAAGAGGATTTAGATAAAGTTTGGAAGGACCAGTAGACTTATATTAAAACAATTAGATTATTCGCTCTCGATTTCTATTATGCGATAGAAATCTCAAGATCATAATTTTGGGAGGAAGAGAAATGCTATAGGAACACAAGCCAACAAGCGAGTCCTTCCACAGCTTTTGTGAGTTTTCCCAAACTTCCACGAGAATACAGCTTGTTTACTTGGATCATCAAAGTGTAAATTTTCCTTGTTCGCACCATCATTATGGACGTAGATGGACAAGGCAAATTTTTGTTTATTTTGCAAAAATATTTGCTATTGGTTCCGTTCTGCAAGTGTGTACAGTGCTTTTCTTCCTACCAAAATTTTGTCAAGCTGTACTAAACTTCAAATTCTGCACCATTTACTCAGGTTCTGAAATTTGACAGATATTTTGTGTTGAATTGAAAGAGCTCTTGGTTATCTTGAGTTCTACCAAGGAGCTAAGAGTAATTTGCTATTTTTATTTGCCAACATTTTTAAGATAAACCATCAGTGACATAGTTCCTTTGATTTTTACAGGCAGAAAAAATTGAAAAGCTGATCAAGGCTGCCAAGGTTGATGTAGAACCCTTCTGGCCAGGTCTCTTTGCCAAAGCCCTCGAGGGACACAACCTAGACAGCCTTATCCAGAGCGCTGGTGCTCCTGGTGCAGGTGGTGGTGCTGCCCCTGCTGCCGGAGGAGCCCCTGCTGGTGGTGGTGAAGCTGAGGCTAAGGAGGAGGAGAAGAAGGAAGAAAAGAAACAGGAGTCTGAAGAAGAGTCAGATGATGACATGGGCTTTGGTGAGTAGCTGAATGTAGCACAGTTGTATACAAAGAACTGGCTTAACATTAGATTGCCTTTCATGTCTGTAAGGTGCTTTTCAGAACAGTTTTCAACTGATTACTAGTTGTGTGGCCCTCTATAATCCAGAGTGAAACAATGTTGTGGTTTTAAGGCTCGGGGAAAAGAACAGCTAGAGGGAAACTCTAGGGTAACCTGAGCACATAGTGTCATCAGGAACATCACTGAGGTTATACAAGGTTCAAATCAAACTTGGTTCATATCAATGGGAGGTGATCGATTAGACCTTGGCACAAGGCATTTTAGCTGGCAAGACCCTCATAATAAAAATATGCTCTGAAATATTTTATTATTTGGGTAACATATGTTCTGACCTGGGTTTCTTTTTTGTCTCGCAGGATTGTTTGACTGAGTGGATACTGTTACCGCAGCATTAAAAAAGTTTAAATAAAAGATACAGTACAAAAAATTTTTGTGGTGTCCTTTCTCGGTTTATTTTTAACAAGAAGTTAAAGGAAACTTTAAACTACACAGTAAAATTTAAAGATAATTTTTCCTTGAAAAAATAAGTAAAAATGTAGGAAGTTCAAATTTTGAAATCTTCAGATTCAAATTAAAAAGAGTGGTTTGTGCAAAGTTGTCCACTTGATGTAGCACACCACAGTGGAAAAGGTCTAGGGAGAATTTCTGGTAGCAAAACAAGGGTCTCAGTGGACAGGTCTTTTACTCTGATGAGTGTCCTCATGAGTACGTACATTAAAGCAAGGCTACAGCCCCTGACAAAAACTTTGGGCCACCAAAATTTGAATCGACTACAGCATTTCCCCTCTGTTATGCAGGACACCCAGCATGTACACAGGACACCAAAATTACCCATGATTTTGATGCAAGTTTTATCAATGTGAGTGGTAGAGGTCTTAGCCTATTCTGGGCTCTTCGCCAGTGAGGACGACAAAAAAAGGTGGAGGGTGACAAGCAGGGCCTAGGAGAGAAAAGGAGAGGGAACTGTCCTTTTCTCCACCAGGCCCTGCTCGTCACCTGCAATCGAATGATCGTCAATCATGTCCACTGACCAGGATCCTGGAACAGGGTACGGAGTCCTGCACACTAAGTCAAGATAATCCATTTCAGTTGCCTAATTTCTGGTACATTGGAACAACCCTACCTGCGTCATGCAATTGTTAACCTTTGAATGTCATCCACAACTCTACCCATGTGTGTTTCAAGTGCATCATACTCGCTGATAAGAGAGCTCAGGGACTCTATGCTACTATCAAATTGGGATACTTCCATGCCGTCAACATGAGTATAATGATGAACATGGGCCTTGCGTTTGTAAAGCTTCATAAAACAATCCTTTAGTTCCTGAAACGTGTGTCTGATACAAGTATTGTTTGCAAGAGCTAAGAGGGAGTATGGTTGCCCCACTGGGGGTATAGAGCATAATCCAGTTTTCCAACCCTCTTGATTCCAGTGTATGAAGTGCAGTGAAGGTTTGAGTCTTTCGATGTTCCTTCTTATGTCGGAGATTTCAACATTTCCCCTTAGCATCAATGCACATGCTAGGTATAAGCTGTGCTTAGGATCGGCTTTAATGAGTTGGTGGTCTTTTGAGAAAGCATCGGAGAACATTTGATCAAGTCTCCGAGGAGGAAGATTGACATCAGTGAGGCTGTACAGAGGGGTCAGGCTGGACACAAGGTAGTGAAGCTTGGGAAACGGCACTAAATTCATTGTGATTTCATTTAAATCTACATTTAAGGAACCTTCAAATCTTGCAGAGCTTGTCATGTTCAAAATAAGGTTAGCAGCAATGTTGTTCATGTTATCAAAAGGCTTTTCTGGACCTTTGTTGACACCACCTTCACCTGAGGTAACAGCACTGCTGGCTTTCGCATGTGACTGACTGCTTGATGGGAACACTTTTTTACCGGATTTAGATGGTGGTAGGGCACTTGAGACTTTGTTGCATATGTCCACTAAAGCCTAATAAAAACAGTTAAATTAAATTTTTGCACAAACTGACAAATTAACCCTCAGAGAGTGGAGGGTGAGGTGGGGGGTGTCTGGTGGATGCCACCACCCCTCAGAGGTTTTTTAGAATTTTGGAAAACAGGATTTACTCAGTGAAGCTGAAACTTTCAGTAGTTGTTCATTCGTTCCTCATAGAGATGATGCTAAGAAATTATTGTCTCAATATCATTTGACATTGCTGTAGCAGCCACATTTTGCCATGCAGGCAGTTCACGCCAAATTTTTTTTGGACAATTTTTTTCCAGTTCAAAACTGTTACAAGCAATTGTATGGAAATGGGTAAATCGAAATAATCAAAATTTATATTCCAAAAATGTTTACGGCACCAGACATTACAGGGTAATAATTGTTTATTGTTTTTTTCAATGGAATGCATACCTGGTTTTCTATTGGTAGGACACAGTCTGCATGTTCTGTCAGCTGATGCATGGCAAGGACACTGAAAGCATAGGTGCAGACAAAGACACTAAAGGGATATACCAAAATGACTATTATCTGAGTGTCCATGTTAAGCAGACTCTCAGAATAAGTGTCGCAGAGACATTTAGTCAACATAAAAGTAGCAGAATGATGTTTAATCCCTTGACTGAAGTACAAACAAAAAAATCATTTGTTAAATCAAATACAGTCAAACTTCCTGTTGCGTCCACCTCTTACAAGTGACCACCTCTCCTTAGTGACCAGTTTTCCAAAATATCAAAAGCGACCACCTCCTGTAGGCTTGACATCTTGGGTGGCTGCTTACAGGAGGTTCGACTGTTGTTATAACAAATGTCTCAGAGTCAAAATTCATATTTGATTCTTGTCAGCTTCTGCTTTAATAAAATTTGATTCACTTACATGTATATATGGATTATTAGCTTTATTTTTCTACCAGGGTACAATGTGCAAATTAACTATACAGAGCAATAACCAGTGTCCATAAAGCAAAGTTAACTTCATATGAGAGCACCTCATTGACACTCGGGCACAGGAAAGTGTTCCATGTCTGTAAAATTTAACTGCCATCCATATTAAGCAGGTCAATGTAAGAGAAAATATTCGAACCTCTAGTCAGGACAAATAAAACTGTCCATATACCTGTTATAAGGTGATGTAATGACATCATCATCAGCTGATGGATAGACAGCTGTAGTGAAGCGGTATACATCAGGATATTCTTCAGCAAGAAGGTTCAACACTGATGTGCCCAAACCAGAACCAGTACCTTGGGAAATGAAAATAAAACTTAACCACACACATGTACTGTTTCTTTCTTTATAAGTTACAAAAATCAAGGTGAAAGAGTGGCTATGCCACTACCTTTATGCTAGGGTTAGTGTGTTCCATTGTGAAGAAGGTGGCAAACAATTTATTTACTGCAGGTAGACATTTTGACTGGAGTGCTGATTAGCTGTCATTAAAATTTCATGTGCTCAAATGTTCATGAGAGTCAACCAGAGCTTTTTTGGAACTGATGTAGATTGACAGGAGGATGTTGACTCTTGCTTATTGTAAGTTAATATTTAATTATTATTCTCACAGTGCCACTCCACTCAGTCTTCACTCAGTTAGTACTCTACTATCCGCCCACAAATCTGGTTTAATGTTACTCCGGCTTGTTAAATCGGATCATGAGTACTTAAGGCATCTGCGGGCAAGTGTTGATCGATACTCTCGATCGATACCCTCGACCAACATCTCCATCAACACTCGATRYACATCGCGATTGATCCTCGGTTGACACTCTATTGACACTGGATAAACAGTCAGTCAATGGTTGGCCAAGTGTCAACCGACTTATATGAATTGATTGAAAATTTGGTTGACTCTCAACCAAGAGGTCGATGGACTGTCGATTGATTATCAAATGAGGTGTCGATGGAGTGTTGATTAAGTATCGATTGAGGGTATTGATCAAGGGTATCAATCGACACTCGACCATGGATGCCTTTAGTACACATAATGCGTTAAATCTTACCTCCACCCATAGAGTGGATAAGAAAGAAACACTGCAGACAGTCACAAAGTTCAGCGGCATGCCTGATCACTTCACTAATCTGTTCTTTATACTGATGTCCGTACATCATAAATCCTGTTGCCCTGTGTAAAATATTCAGATTGCAATTTTATTTTATGAGATCAACAGTGGCAGCAGATCCAGAGGTGTTAAAAAAGAAGGAAAATTGCTTTTTCTTGCTCAAAAAGGGGTGCCAGTGAAAAAAATGTCATTTTTTTGCTCCAACTGAAGGAAGGAAAAACTTCAATCCCTCAGGCCTGATATTTTTCAGCTAAAAAGCAGACCCTCCTTAGATCTGACATGGAAGCCTGACTTTCAGCTATCTTCTCAAGTTGTGTGTGTACACACTCCTATTATAAGAGACCAGCTGAAATTCAAACTACAGCCATGGACGATTCTTAACTAGTTTATCTTCAGTTTCAAGCCCTACTTGGCACTAGTGTATGATTTTATTAGCTTGTTTCAGTTTTGCTAGTACTGCAGTAGAGAAGTGATTAATACTTGGCAACCTTTTGGTTAAAAACGTAAATGTGTGCAGTTTGTAGAATGATTGACAACATACTCACCAGTTATTACCTGATCCTGACACATCAGTTATTAACTGCTGACAGTCAAACACATCTCGCAATGGACCTTTGAGGATTTCATTAACGACACCTTCTTCCATGTCTATGACAACTGCCTGATGTATAAAAAGTACATTTGTAAAGAAGTATTAAATAACAGAAATAGCTGATGTCCATGCATCATGAATCCAAGTTCCAGATGGGATTTGAACCCAGTCTGAACCCTCCAAGATTTAGCCCAATGCTCTAACTAAATTGTACTGGGCTATTAGAGACTCCATGGTGAGTAAGGGTGAAATGTGGGTCTTTTGACTGGAACTGCATCACACAGTCACACAGTCAAATAATGACTTGGCACATACACACTCATTTTCCAAGTTTTCAGTTTATAGTATTTCTATCATTCAACATTCCCTACATTACTCATTTTGTAAAGAAGTGTTCACACAAAAACTCAACAATGATTTAACAATCATGGCACACAGCGTTTTGTTGTATGTCTAACTGGAACGTAAATATTAATGTCTATTGGTTACATACCCTAGCTTTCAAAGATTTGATCTTTTGCTTTGCATTTCCTACAGGAATATCCACTGGATTCTTGTATCTAAAATGGTGAACAACAAATGGAACTCATTTGCAAAAAAAAAAATAATAATAACAGTCATGTCCAGCAGAGACTTAAATAATTTAAAGCACACAGACTTTCATGTAATGCTTGGTCGTGCATAAAAATTACATAGCAATTAATACCACTGATTGAAGATTTAAAAGCATTTGACCTGGACATGCATGGGATGTGTTTTGTCCCAAACTTTGGGGATCATGTGTACAAAAGGCATCCTCAGTCGAGTGTCTATTGACACTCTCAATCAATACCCTCAATCGACAACTCGATCGATACTCAATGGACATCCCGATTGATACCAGGTTGACACTTGATCGACACTTGATCAACAGTCGATTGATAGCCGGCAGAGTGTTGACCAACTCAAATGAGACGATCAAAAATAAGTCGACTCTCAACCAACTGTCGACCAAGATGTCAATGGAGTGTCAACCAAGGTGTCGATGGAGTGTCGATTGGAGGTATCGATCAAGGGTATTGATCAACACTCGACTGTGGATGTCTTTAGTACACATGATCCAAGTTTGGTACGTCGAACTCCAGATCATAGAGGTCAGTCATTTTGATAGGGGATTCCTTAAAGTTTGTGTTTCGAAAATTAAAGTTAGGTGTGATCCATATCAAGTTTTATTCCTCTTTATGCCAACTTAAAGTGTGACAACAAGGTATTTACAAGTAAAATTAGCCAGATGACCAACCTTATCTTCACTAACCTTGTATCAACGTTGCGAAAGAAGCTACTGAGAGATTCATCAAATATCCCATGCTATTGATCAAGGGTATCAATCGACACTCGACCATGGATGCCTTTAGTACACATAATGCGTTAAATCTTACCCCACAAGCTACAAGCTTGTGGGGTAAGACATACACAACTCCACAAGCTGTTTAAATAAAGGTTACCGGTACTTACTTACTTACTTACCTCCACCCATAGAGTGGATAAGAAAGAAACACTGCAGACAGTCACAAAGTTCAGCGGCATGCCTGATCACTTCACTAATCTGTTCTTTATACTGATGTCCGTACATCATAAATCCTGTTGCCCTGTGTAAAATATTCAGATTGCAATTTTATTTTATGAGATCAACAGTGGCAGCAGATCCAGAGATGTTAAAAAAGGAAAATGGTTTTTTCTTGCTCAAAAAGGGGTGTCAGAGAAAAAAGTGTCATTTTTTTGCTCCAAATGAAGGAGGGAAAAACTTCAACCCCTCAGGCCTGATATTTTTCAGCTTAAAAGCAGGCCCTCCTTAGATCTGACATGGAAGCCTCACTTTCAGCTATCTTCTCCAGTGTGTACACACTCCTACTGTAAGAGATCAGCTGAAATTCAAACTACAGCCATGGATGATTTTTAACTAGTTTATCTTCAGTTTCAAGCCTTACTTGACACTACTGTGTGATTTTATTAGCTTGTTTCAGTTTTGGTAGTATTGCAATAGAGAAGTGATCAATACCTGGCAACCGTTTGGTTAAAATGTAAATGTGCGCAGTTTGTAGAATGATTGACAACATACTCACCAGTTATTACCTGATCCTGACACATCAGTTATTAACTGCTGACAGTCAAACACATCTCGCAATGGACCTTTGAGGATTTCATTAACGACACCTTCTTCCATGTCTATGACAACTGCCTGATGTATAAAAATTACATTTGTAAAGAAGTATTAAATAAGTTGGACAGAAACAGCTGATGTCCATGCATCATGAATCCGAGTTCCAGATGGGAATTGAACCTAAAAGCCTCCAAGATCTAGCCCAATGCTCTAACTAAATTGTACTGGTCTACTAGAGACTCCATGGTGAGCAAGGGTGAAATGTGGGTCTTTTGACTGGAACTGCATCACACTGTCACACAGTCAAATAATGACTTGACACATATGTACTCATTTTCCAAGTTTTCAGTTTATACTATTTCTATCATTTAACATGCCTTACATTACTCATTTTGTAAAGAAGTGTTCACACAAAAACTCAACAATGATTTAACAATCATGGCACACAGCGTTTTGCTGTATGTCTAACTGGAACGTATATATTAATGTCTATTGGTTACATACCCTAGCTTTCAAAGATTTAATCTTTTGCTTTGCATTTCCTAAGGGAATATCCACTGGATTCTTGTATCTAAAATGGTGAACAACAAATGGAACACAAATGCAAAAAAAAATTACAGTTATGTCCAGCAGAGACTTAAATAATTTAAAGCACACAGACTTTCAAGTAATGCTTGGTCATACATAAAAATTACATAGCAATTAATACCACTGATTGAAGATTTAAAAGCATTCGGTCTGGACATGCGTGGGATGTGTTTTGTCTTAAAGTTTAGGGATCATGTGTACAAAAGGCATCCTCAGTCGAGTGTCTATTGACACTCTCAATCGATACCCTCAATTGACAACTCAATCGATACTCGAGGGACATCCCAATTGATACCAGGTTGACACTTGATCGACACTTGATCAACAGTCGATTAATAGCCAGCAGAGTGTTGACTGACTCAAATGAAACGATCAAAAATTAGTCGACTCTTGACCGACTGTCGACCGAGATGTCAATGGAGTGTCAACCAAGGTGTCGATGGAGTGTCAATCAAGGGGTATCGATCAAGAGTATTGATCAACACTCGACTGTGGATGTCTTTAGTACACATGATCCAAGTTTGGTGCGTCAAACTCCAGATCAAGAGGTCAGTCATTTTGATAGGGGATTCCTTAAGTTTGTGTTTCGAAAATTAAAGTTAGGTGCAATCTATATCAAGTGTGACAACAAGGTATTTACAAGTAAAATTAGTCAGATGACCAGCCTTATCTTCACTAACCTTGTATCAACGTTGCGAAAGAAGCTACTGAGAGATTCATCAAATATCCCATGCTGGAACAGAAAATACATGTTCATAGCAATTTTTGGTTGATTTATATAACTTTTGATCATATTATATAATTTTACGCCATGCATGTGTCTGATACTATAGAAATTAAAAATTCCCAGAAAGGTTCATTAATTAGTATTGTAGATCACATTAGATTCCATGACTTGAACTCTACATGAGGTTTGAACTCTAGAAGAGGAAGGATAGCAGTTACTGTTACCTTATTGGTGCTAGCATGCTCTCTCAATGCCAAATCCCAGAACCGGCATCCAATCTGTTTCGATATAGACAGCACCGTAAAGAAAGTGAAGATAAGTACAGGAAGCATACAGATAAGTACCAGTAATACTCCTCTCACTCCTCCCCCAAGGAAAGAAGAGTAAATTGGCTATTAAAGTGACAGATTCATAGGTGACTATGGGGGTGAGGGTGGATGCTTTCTGGCTCAAAAAGGGGTTGGGGTGGTAGGGAGTAAGTTCATTCCATGACTATTTTTCCTTTACGAATTGGAGAAGGGAAAAGCCATTGCAATGAGGTTTGCAAAGGAGAGGAGACAAACATTTTCACAAGGATGACAAAGGGATTATGCATAACATCTAAAAGACAAGCGTGACTTATGAATTGTTGAAAGAAAAGTATTATAGAAGCCAGAGATATTGTACGATGTTTCAATTTTGTTAAGACACGTGTGAAACAGGATCACAACCCCCTCCTCAAGCTAGCCTCTTTCTGAGCCCTTTCCCTCTATCCATCATTGTGTTATAATCTATAGCATTCACTGTTTTATTTTCCAAATTATACAAATTGGAAAATATATTCTCCATTCCTTGATTATAAATGGTTTTAATCAGTTTTCTTCAACATTTGTGTTATAAAACGGACGTCTTACGTCAAAATAATGTAATCTTGTAGCATGATGATTTATCTCTGATATAACAGTAAGCCTTTCTTGATTCAAAGCACAATTAGCAATAAAAACAAAATTGTCTGTCTTACTTGATTTCCGCACTGTCCAACTGAAACAAGTTTATTTTTCACATGAAAAGGAAGGAAAATGAATGCATGAACATCCAGTGATAAAACCAAGTTATGCTTTAATTCAAAAAAGCAAGAAATTACCTTGGACTACAATCGACTGCGTCATGTTTAAGTTTATAATTTTGTGATGCACAACGTTTGTTTCATGGAGGGCGCCATTTTGAAATTTCGCGCAAAAACCGGCGCCTGCGCAATAAGCCAAGATACGGGTATTTGACCAGGGCATCATGGGATATTCGTTCTCTCACTCCATCGTGGCTGCCTTGAGCGAGTTTCCAAGTGGAAATAAGAAATAGTTTTAGGTATATCTACGAAGTCAGAGCTCTTAAAGACAAAATCACTGGATAATTGTTTTATCTTTTAAATGCTTTAGTGACTGAAATGTTCTTGTATTAATCACAGGCGGTCAAACGGCAAAAATGGTGTCCTCAAAAAAGCAGGTATGTGGGTTTTGAACACACGTGCACTTTTTGCTGAACTTACAATAATTACTCTCAAAGCTTCAACGATACTGTGTAATGTATTTCTGGCATTTCTAGATGTCGTGTTATACATAGAAGCTTATATGATGAGTAATTGTTGTATGGAGGTTGTCAAACTTCACAATTATTTGGGTAAATGTAAACATAGCTACATGTAGTAATGTTTAAGCCAAGATTTAAAATGCCCTTGGTTGATTACTCGTATGTTTAAAAGTTTTGTGGAACATGTTAACTGACAAGTTTTTTGGCTATTCCATTTTTCCTTAAAATCATGTACGTCTCCTTTACATTATGAGCACTTCAAGTAGGTAGGTGACAGTTGTGTTTATAGTGTTGATGTAACTGTAAATTCTCAGAACAAAAGATGTGCGAGACAGCTTATAGGAGAATTTATGTTTTCATCTTGAGCATGAAAAAGTGTTCTCTTCCTGTTCATAATGAACATTTTATGTGTCCTTGAAAGTTGCCAGCAAAAGGCTCACTCAAGTCTAACTCGCTGCAATCAGTCATACATGGGATAATCTTACTGATGTTAGTGGCCAACATATGTATTGCCCATAGTGGTTAATGTTAAGTGGTAGCATAAATTTACACTGGCGTCGGGCTTGAAAGATTCAGGGTTAAGGAAAGTGGTTTACACTTGTTTACAAATTTCACTATAGCTGGTCTATCCTCCTACTCAACTGTGGTTATGTAAGGAGATGTTTTCAATGTTGAATGAAGTGACACCC